GGTTTTCACTCGCGTGTTGGAGAGACCCCGAGTAGCAGATTCAATCGACGACACAATTCCTTCGTCTGGGGCTCCAGGATTCTGAGCGCTGGCAGCTGAATGTGCAATGTCATAGAGATTCTTGGCCTGAGAAATCGAGTCTGAGTAAAGGGAACTGGCTTCAGGGGGTGGCATGGGAATAGAGGATTGCTCCGAGAGTACTCTCGCCGACGGAGATACGGTCGACGAAAACGATTGCTGGTGGGGTGGGGTTGGGACATCACCCAGAGTCTGCCCAGGAGTATCAGCAGAGGCTTGATTGTCATGGTCTATGAATGCAGCATCAACTCCACCCGAAACATTAGGCTCATTGTTAGCATCCTTATTATCTACGATGGCCATAGGCTCAAGCTCAGGCTCAGGTTTTGGAACCTTATTGAAAAATATTTCAGATGGTGGTGCATCGTGTTCGTTTCCAAAATACGCGCTGTTTTCGGAGCCTCTTTCGTCACTAGCTTCCGGCGTATCGTCAACGACGCCGATATATGTGTCGGTGTCGATGGAGTGATCTTTATCAAAAGAATCTCCCTCGTTGAGCTCATCCTCAAGCGATAACATGGATTGATATTCAGGATCTGGCATTGTTTCGGGTTCGTCTGGAATCATTGATGCTCTCTTGCTGGCACGAGCTTCAGCTGCATCATTCGTCCTCGTCTCAAAATCATCGCTGATATCCTCTGCTTCAATCTTCCACTTCCCAACCGCCTTAAGCCTAGTTAGCTCCTTGGCCGTCGCTTCAGCAATCAACATGCCCTTGTTGACAATATCATTTCCAAGTGCCTTTGCTTCTTCGTAAGCGCCATGCCGCATCGCAACTGCTCTAACTTCCTCCCGCCAGCTATGGAGTTGCTTCTTTAGCGCATTATATTTCGCCCAATCTTTGTATGTCACACCGTCCATCCACGCCCATTTCATCCCAATATTCTGAAGGCTGAGGTCACGGATCTGGTCGAGGACTTCGATTGTGGCGTCAGAAGCGCTGGTTACCTCCATATGAAGGCTCCTATCAAAGTTCGCCAGCCACTGTCGGAGCTTCTGCGCAGCTTCCCGAAGAGCAAAACCTGACGCCCTAACAGCTTGTATCAACTGTTGCTCAGCGGCTTCGCGATCTTCAACGGTAGATTTATCAGGCATATCACGGATGATATCGATAATTTTCTTTCTTAGAGATTCGAGCTCTTGATGTCCCACCCTTTCCAACTCGGAAACGAGTGCTTCGCCAGAACCCTGTACGTCGTTCACGTAGCTGTCTACAATCTTCGCGACCTGTTCATCGAGGTCTTCGGCTCCTTTATCAGCCGCAATGGCGAACTTTTGTTGCCATGTTTTCAAATCTGTGGCTATGGCTTCACGCGCAAAGCTCATTTTATCCACTGATTGCTCGGGGGGCGCCACAGATGTCGAAGTAGAAGTGGTCCAGTGACTGTATTCAGAAGTCTTCGGTGCCACGGTAGTTGCAGGCGATGAAGCAGTGGTGGCTGAACCGGATGGTTCGGTTAAACTGTTGAGGCATTAGCTTAAATAATACGGGAGCAATTATAGTCTAGGTTTCTAGAGACAACCGGAGAGGATCCTCCAAGGTTGATACACGGAAGTGGTATAGGCCGAGGGCTTACGTTTCAGTTTCTTCACCAACAGCACCAAGCTTCCGGCCTTCACGATAACTTGCGAGCTTCTCGCCAATCCTAAGCAACTGAGGCTCAACATTCTCGCCGTAGACTCTAGCAATTCTAGGTAGGAATGTCTCATTAACGAATGTCACCAGATACGACCATGTTCTTTTACTGAACGGATATATCGTATTCACCACGATATCATACGTGGAGGAACATGTTTTGACAATAACTGGTTTCGTTTTCGTATAAAAGGGAGTAATATACGATTGACGCACGTTATCAAGGCGGGCAACTGCTGTCCGGTAATAGGGAGTTACTACTGAAGCAATATGTGCGTAATGCGGCTCAATCGATGACTGGTATGCACCAGTCAAGGAGGTTTGTAGTGAGTGAATATGCGGTGTCACGATGCCTTCCCACTGGTTCCGAATATATGACGCGGACTTCTCAATATGGGGCGCTCCATATGCGCGGTAATTGCGTTTTGTGAAATCGGCAGTAGGAATGTATATCTGCTCGTTGAAAGTGCGTGCATAAGGGCGTACGTTGTCGACATAGGGAGCTCCGTAAGTTTCATAATACGGCGATATATGAGGCTCTATGTGTGACCGCGCAATCAAATACGGCGAGCAAATGCTTGGATAATTGCCATCTAATTCTGGGAGGGTTGATGGACAGTAGAATAACGGCGTAATTAGGGCATACCATATGGCTAGTCTGTATTGGAAAAAAGAAAAAAAATCAGTATTGTAGAGATCCACAGCATCCACGAAACAACATACCGTAGGATAACTGCAAGTGACCATCGCACGAAGCTAGCAGGTCGTCTCCGATCATCTTTTTTTTCTTTCGTTTGTTTCCGAAAGGAAAGACCATTGACTTGACCCTTCTTGGTATTCCCGCCGCCTGCTCCCGCTGCCACCGTCTCCATTCCTGTGGCGGGAGATGACGCGCCGCTCTATTCTTGCTACCGTCTCGACGCGCTGTAGGGACAGAGTAATCTAGCGCTCATCTATTGCGTACGTCGCAAAGGAAAGACGTGAAAATGAAAAATCATAGGCAAGTAGCTAGCCTCGCAAGAGAAGCGCAAGGAGGAGCCAGCGCACGTCAAGGCAAACAAGAGGTTAGAAATATGGCAGGACTAAGAGGAGCCTTGGCATGGAGCTCAGCGGACTAGTTAGCTTCGGCAAAGGAAGCTGTAAATGAGTCGGGAAGAACTGTATGAGGAGCTAAACGATTATAAAAACGCATGGTAAGGCGTCAACGAGGGACGAGAGAGGCGTCAGCGTTATATATATGTTGTTCTCTTCGCTCTCCCCGCAGAGCAGTGAACACCATTTGTGTATTCCTGTTTCGAGCTTGCGGAGGTTGGAAGTCTCGCACCAGCCAATCACATGTGGTTGATGTCGTTTTGTCAGCCACAATACCGTGTCATGGCGCGTATTGGCTGGCTGATGCCTGGTTGTTGAGCCGTACAGAACCGTACCAGATGTAATATATAATCCGGATAAATATTGTTCCGCTATCAACTTCGCTGAGTAAAGGCAGCTTATCCTTGACGTTGCGCAACCAAAAACCTCAAAGGGATAAACGATCCCCCAGAACCTTAACCTATAACCTTCGCGGAATCTCTTGAGAAATGCACTAACCGCCACAGCGTCCAGATACTTTTCGTAACTCTCCACTGAACGACCACGATCATTCGATATCTCGGAATGCGGGCATGTGGACTCCAGTATCTATGATAGCATGGTCATCCCCTCTGTTTCCAACGTTCCTAATTTCTTGACGCCTAGGACGATGGATATAAACCGGATGACTGTCGGTCGGACGGGAGGGCTGGTCCTTTGCCTGATATCATGACGATCCTGCTTTGCACAACACAGCGTCTACAACGAGCGTGACGATATGACACTGTCGATATGTCGCGCGATGCACGAGAGAGCACTCTATATCGTGCAATGTAGCGGAGCATCAATCGTCACAGACTGTCTGATGCAGTG